TCATCACACAGCACCTGAACATTTCACTTTGTAAAGGGGCTGCTATCTCTGCTAATAATAAATGGAGGCCCTTACATTTCTTTCTTAGGTCGTGTTTCTTGACCTTTAATTTCTGAGATGGGGCTTTGAGGTTTATTGCTCCTGGGGAGGGAAGTGCTGGTCCTTTGCCTGTTTAGCAAGACAGTTGGTTTGGCTGAGAAGACCAACCTCACTGGTTCCCAATCCACTCAGCACTCTGCTGACACAGGGAGCTCTCAAAAGAACCAGTATGATCACCTCGCTTAAAACTTTCCAGTGGGCTTCCCTGGTGGCGCAGTGGTTGAGAGTCTGCCTGCCGATGCAGGGGACGCGGGTTCGTGCCCCGGCCCGGGAAGATCCCACATGCCGCGGAGCGGCTGGGCCCGTGAGCCGTGGCCGCTGAGCCTTCGCGTCCGGAGCCTGTGCTCTGCAACGGGAGAGGCAGCAACAGTGAGAGGCCCGCGTACTGCAAAAAACAAAACAAAACAAAACAAAACTTTCCGATGAACCATCATTGCCCTTAGGAGAAATCCCAAGTATCTGGATGTCATTTATAAGACGCATCTTGATTGGTTTCTCCTCCATCTCCTACCTCTTGGGGCAGACTGTGTTATCATTCTTAACCATCCACCGCCCCTTCCTGGGGAAGGATTATACCTCCCCTGCACCATTAATGTCAAGCTTGGCCACATGACTTGCTTTGGCCCATGAAATGTGAGCAGCAATGACACTTCCAGGCAGACGTTTAATAGCCAGTGCACAGCTCACTTTCCCTCCCTCATGAGACCAGTAATGTTCCACACAGAGGTTATTTCTACCATCTACCAGCTCCTGGAGTGAATACGAAATAAGCAGAACACCCGCTGATTCTCAGTGGATGAGTCACATTAGGGAAATATCAACCCTTGTTCTAAGCCACTGAGATTTGGGGGCCATTTGTTACTGCAATAGAACCTCCTCTATCCTGACTGATATACTTTTGCAACCTTATCTCTTGCCATTGCCTCTTTTCATCTTGTACTCTAATCCAGTGGCTTTCAAGCATTTTTTTAATCCACCCACAATAAGAAATATATTTTACATCATAACGTGTTCCTCACCTCATAGATATACAGAGATACACGCATAAATTAAACAAAAGCTCTACAAAACGATCCTTTTTGCGTGCGATTCACTCTGATACATGCTGTTCTATTCCATTTAAGTAAAAATGCTGGACAGGACCCCCTAAGTTGATTTTGTGACTCGTTAATGAGTCATGACTATGTTTGGACGACATTGGTCCACCCGCTTGAAAACCTCACTTCCCTTTACAGGCTCCTAGTATGTCTTTCAGGGCTCTGCTAGGAAGGCACCTCTTCTAGGAAAACTCTTACTACTGTAGGTGGCCGACGAGGCCCCATAGCATCCAGTTTTGTACTTGGATGTACTATTTTGTACTTTGCTCTTTTTTTCTTTTTCTTTCTTTTTAAAAAATTTTTTTAATAAAAAACACATAACATAAAATTTACAATCTTAACCTTTCTTGAGTGTGCAGTTCCGTAGTCAGTATATTCACATTGTTGTGAAATAGATCTCCTGAACTCTTTCTTCTTGCAAATCTCAAATTCTAGACCCACCGAATGATAACTCCCCCTTCCTCCCTTCCCCCAGCCCCTGGCAACCACCATTCTACTTTCTGTTTCTATGAATTTGACCACCTTTGATCACTCAGGTAAGTGGAATCATACAGTATTTGTCTTTTTGTGACTGGCTTATTTCACTTAGCATAGTGTCCTCAAGGTTCATCCATGCTGTAGCATGTAACAGGATTCCCTTCCTTTTAAAGGCTGATAATGTTTCATTGTATATACCACAGTTTGATTTTTTGTTCATCAATGAACATTTGGGTTGCTTCCACCTCTTGGGTATCTTGAGTAGTGCTGCTATGAATACGAATAGGTGTGCAAGTATCTCTTCGAGACCCTGCTTTCAATTCTTTTGGTTACATATCCAGAAGTGAGATTGCTGAATCATGGGATTATTCTTTGTTTACTTTTTGGAGGAACCTCCATACTGTTTTCCATAGCAGTTACACCATTTTACATTCCCGCCAACAGTGCACAAGTGTTCTGATTTTTCCACATCCTGGCCAGCACTTTTATTTCCAGATCCTTTTGTTAGTAACATCCTAATCAGTGTGAGGGGTTTCACTCTTGTCTCATGTGTATTCCTCAAACGGCCTATAAAGCCCTTGAGGACAGAAATCATTCTTATCCTTTGTGGTAACTCCAGCATTAATATGATGCTATACAGTGTGTTCACAGTAAATATGTGTAGCATGAAGGAAGGTGTTTCCCCTGAAATTAAAATATGTCTGCAAATTCTTTGTCACTGTTCCCTTCAAAAGATGGTGCCAGATCTCCCTCCTCTTCAATGTGGGTCAGGCTTACTACTCCCTTCTAACACATAGAATGCGGCGGAAGTTATGCAATGTGACTTCTCAGGCTGGGTCATAAAACAGTTTTAGTTTCTGCGTGGCTTTCTCTCTTGGATCACCACTAAACAGGCCTATGAAGCGGCCACGTGTAGAGGAACTGAGGCCTCCCCTTAACAGCCAGGGGCGAGTCCTCTTAGATGTGGATCCTCAATCCTCCAGCCCTGGGCAAGCCTTCAGATGACTGCAGCCCCAGCCAGCATCTGTCTCCAGTCCTATAAACCATCCTGAGCCAGAACTGCCCAGCTCTCAAATTTCTGACCCAGAGCAACCCCGAGAGATAATAAATATCTAGTGTTGTTTCAAGCTGCTCAGTTTTGGGGTGATTTGTTACACAGCAATGGATAAATAATACACTCCCCCTTTCAGATAATCAAGTTGATGCTTGTAGAAATGAGGTAAGCTGCTCTGGATCACACGGCTAGTAAGTGGAAGTACTGAGTCTCAAATACACAGCTCTAAACTCCTAGACTACATGACCTTAGACAGAGGAATACCGGGCTCTAGGGGAGTGTGTTCTGGCCCCTCACTGTAAGGGTCCCTCTGGAATGGTACCACACAGCAGTCTCACAGCGTTGCTACCCTGGGTTTCGCATCTTGGGCTGGGTCTTGGGCCCCCTCCTCATTATGGACCTCCAAAGAGTACTTTGGAAAAAAGAGTCATTGGAAACTTTATCCAATTAAAAAAAAAACTAGCTTCCTTTTTCTGGTCCTGATCTCCTTGGCCCTTATCTTGCTTTCTTGCTTTTCTGGAGTCTTCTCCACCCCAGTCAATCATTTGATAACAAAGCTCTCTTGCTCCTGGCTGGAACATGCCAACGTTTCTGTAGAACAATTAAACTTCATTTCAGGGTGAGCTAATTTCATGACAGCTTTCTGTAGCTGAGAAGGATCATCTGTGTGGGATCAGAGTGCTCAGGCTGCTCGGCTGAGGCTTGGAAGCATCCCTGACAAGCACTCCCTTTGTCTTCATGCCCTATGTCTGGAGCGCCCCGCCCGCTCTGTTTCCACTGAGGTTGGGTCGCGGTGTTTACATCCCTTCTCTTTCCTTCATGTTTCTCTCCTTCTTGTTCCTGTGCTTCATTGACTGGCTCCTGTTTTAGGCTACATTGTGTTCTTGGGAAGTCAGCCCCTTCTTCTCAAAGATCAGTTTACTTATCTGTGTAATGGATATAAGGATGCCTATCTAGCAAGGCTGTTCTGAAGGCTAAAAGATAGGACACAGGGTCAGTATTCATAAATGAGAGCCTTTATCAGGACAGTGTTTCTTCCCCTTCCACTAGAACCTCTGTTGATAGTAGGATAATCCTCTCTTAGCCCATTTACAGAGATCCTACTCTATTTGTCGTTCGGTCTGAAATTGCTTCTTCCTTCTTCTTTTTTTATTTTTTCCCCTTTGTACTGTGGCAGCTGCTGCAATTTAGATCTGCTGTCTGAGGTTCAGCTTCCTTTTCTACTCCTCTCCCCAGCCACTCAGCCTCAAACTACCCCCTCCTACCTTTTGGTTTTGTCTGTCCTCTTGTCTAGGTTTTCATTGCCCTCCCCAAGGGCCATGAACCCCTCTGCCATCTGCCCTCACCTGGCCCAGCTGTTTTTAGGTCGCCTAATCCTTTTACATCATTCCCTTCCCAGGTAACCAACAAATGGCCGTATTTTCCAAGGAACTCCTGCAGACGCCTCTTCCACCTCTTAAAAATACTTGACATTGATGATTTAAAACAACTCTGACTCCTGCAGACGACTCCTCCAAACTCTTCCCCCCCACTCCACTTTGGGAGGAAAGGGATACCTCTCACTAGCTCATCAGTGTGCACGCCCTTCTGAAGACACGCCAACCGCAGTCCTGTGCAATGACAGAAATTTCAAAGTTCTAATCTATCTGGGCTTTGCATTATGGCGGCAAGAAGCCCTCTGAAGTCCTCGGGGGCAGCCTGAAGGACACATCTGACCCCTTCTGAATTTTCTCACTCGTTTGCTAATTACCTGGGAACCTGGTCCTTTCTATCCAATTGATTGGAGGAGCTCATCCCTGACCTGCTAACATTTCAGACTGGCTTCAGGAATATATACCTTTTCCTTTTTCAATACATTCTCCACAGGATTAGAAGTTCAGGATGACATCCCAGAGCACGAAATATGTATCTACTCCCCCATCCCCCCTTCCCTAAATTCTAGTCCAGAGACTTTCAAGCAAACCAGAAAGTTCCAGAAGGAGCTGTGGAAATGAAAGACGTTGATGTTCTCTTTTGCTTTTTTGGCAGGAGTTTGCTCTAAGTGCTCCAGTAACCCAACGACCATATGCTGCATTGGTGTTTTGACGTGACCAGAGTGGATTAGTGGGGGTTGGACTGGGGGCAGGGACACAAGGTTGTCATTGTCACAGAAAGACAGTCAACAGGACCAGACCTCCTTCATTTTCTGCCTCCGCCCTTAACTAACTGTTTGATATTGGGCAAGTTATTTAACTGGACTAAGCTTTAGAGTCTGCCTCTGAAAGGGTAATAATGATACCTCCTTCACTGGGCTGTTTTAGTTGGAACGATGTCACACACAGGAGTACCTGGGACCACGTGGGTGCCCAGGGGATGGCGGGACCGTCGTGGGACTGAGGGTAGGTAAGGGCTGAAGGGCAGGCAGAGTTCTCTTCTTGAGTTGCCTGGGCTTTTCTGGTCGTGGATGAACTGTGGTTTGTCTGATCACTCTTGAGCTGAGATAAACAGTGAATTTCAGGCAAGGTTATATGATTCTGCAGGGCAAAGCTGAACAAAGCCCACTTTACTGCCTGTTTTATAGCCTGTGACTTTTAATGGCTCCTGTAGTTGACAGTTCTTGCCAAAGTGAAGTTGTTATCCTGCAGTTTCTTTTGCATTTAAATAGCACTTCGGTTTCCAGGGTGCTTAGCAATCATTTATTCATTTCTCCTCCCCTGCTAGGTCCTACTCTTTTCTCCTCTTTATTTATTTACTTATTTTTGCAGAGTGGGAAGCTGGCTGAAACCCAGAGATTTGCCCAAGGTCACACAGACCTGGTCAGGGAACCGCGATCCTGTCCTTTTTCATGTCCTTTTTCACATCACGGTTCTGTGCTAAGTTTGCGGTAGCCTGTTACTTCTCACTGCTCAGGGGGCATCAGTCGAGATCAAGGGATGTTTGGGAAAGGATTCCCAAAGTAAGTGTCTGCTAGAACTGCTCTTCCTCGATTGGGAAATTAGGGGAGAAATGTTCATATTACTGGCCCTAAAACCTTAGGATTTTGAACCTCCATATTGATTCTAAGGAAAGTTATCCCAAGTAGTTGAGGTCCACTGTCTGAGGTCACTTTGAGTGACTTGGCCATGGCTCAGATGTTGACCCAGCCATTTGGGCAAAATAACTAGATTAGATTTCCCCCTTCTTTCATAGAATTAACCCATTTTATAAGAAAATCACTTTGTGCCTCTGAAGGCAGAAGGACCCACGCATTGCTCCCCAGATGCCCGTCCATTCTAGCACCTTCCCTCCAGATCTTCAGCCCAGTCAGCCCCCGTTTCTCAGAACCTTGCACAAGTCTGCACGTGGACTTATGCACCCTTTCTCTCTGCTGCCTCCCACCTACGCAGTGTCAAGGTATTGGTCTCTACTTTAACAAAATTTGATGTTCACATCACAATCAAATTATTGGCCAGGAACGTTCAGTTCAGAGGCTTTTAGCTTCATCCACATGCCACTAATATACAAAAAATTTTTTAAGTCTCTTTCTGTAGTTTCTGCTATTCAGTTTTTTTTTTAAACATTTTCTAGAATCAATGATTTTTTTAAAAAATAAATTTATTTATTTTTGGCTGTGTTGGGTCTTCGTTTCTGTGCGAGGGCTTTCTCTAGTTGCGGCGAGCGGGGACCACTCTTCATCGTGGTGCGCGGGCCTCTCACTGTCGCGGCCTCTCTTGCTACGGAGCACAGGCTCCAGACGCGCAGGCTCAGTAGTTGTGGCTCACGGGCCCAGTTGCTGCGCGGCATGTGGGATCTTCCCGGACCGGGGCACGAACCTGTGTCCCCTGCACTGGCAGGCAGACTCTCAACCACTGCGCCACCAGGGAAGCCCCGTTCAGTTTTTTTGAGTAGTGAAGTTTTTCCTTTAGCAATATTTGCTCTTCTTATTCATTTTTGCTTTTTCTCTCTCACTACCAAAAGCTTAGTTTAGACTTACTACTTCCATTTGACTAGTGGGTTTTTAGTGAGTAACATGTCTTAGCTCCTGTGACGGTCTGTTGCTGATGAGAGGGACAGAAGGAATATAAGCCGGTCCTTGTCCTCCAGGCAAACCTATCAGCCTGTGTACCTGAAATGCCTGATGAAGGGCTCTGGCCCCTCCTTGCCTTAACCTTTCCCCTGTCACTGCCATATTCCCTTGGTGCCTTGCAGTGTCTATTTTTCCATTGATGTTTCCATTTTCTGAAGATTATCCAGCTTTGGTTAGGAGAGTTGATCAATATCTTTCACCAAGAATGTCAGGGTCTTTGAATTGTTTGGTCTTATTTATTTTTCTCTCTGAAGAGTGGTTTCCTTTAAGCTACTCAAGAGCAAACTCCAAGGACAAAGGTGAACATTCAGAGAATGACAGGTGAATGGTTGGTAGCAAGATGGGTTGGAGAGATAAATGCAATTCTTGCTTTTTGCAAAAGCACAGGGACACCGTCCTGTCGCGCCTGAACAGGGGATTAAATGTGAGGTTACTCCCTCTAGAATACCCAGTATTGCTATGAGGTTTTAAAAGATTTGAGAACGTAAAGAATTTGGGCTTACAAATTTGCAAGTTCCCTGAGCTATGTTTAAAAATAACTTCCAAACAGACAAAATGAACATCAAGAAAGGGGTTGGGGGGAGGCAGTCAAATGAACGACTCATAATGATAAACATTTATCAGGCAGTTACTATGAGTCCAGCACTGGGAGCATGGAGATGAATAAAACAGAATTCCTGCCCTCAAGTTCTCAGGTGAGTGGATTATAGAACATGATGAAAATTACGATAGAAATACGAATAAAGCACCGATAACTTTATCCAGAAATGGAGGACTATGTAATTAAAGTTCCTAGGGGGATGATAATTCTGAATTAGGTCTCAAAGCATAAATAGGAGGTCACCGGTTGGACAAAGCAGGACATTATAGGTACTGAATTTCATGTGGTAATCAGGGGGCTCTAAGACTGGACTGCCCTATGGGAGATGACAGTAGAGCCACACTAAGGATTTTGGACTTGATTCCTTTAGGTGAAGGAGAATTAAGGAAGGATTTTAAGTGATTTGATCAAAATTGCCTTGCTTTAGTTTAGAAAGCGGCTCTTCTATGCCAATGCTAGAAATAGAACTGATTCTTAGTTTTTGTCTAGTAACTCCTCATTCTGCTTTGTATGACGATAGTTTCATTGTAATTCGTATATTTGAGTTTTTCTGTGTATATACATACCGATAATGCCTTTATTATTCATGGACTGATTAAGGGCTTTGGGAATAGCCTCAAGGTTGCTGAGGCAGTTGGCTACTTCTTAGAATCATATAAAGGTGAAATAAATTATAGAACTTAATAGGAGTTTAAGCTGTACATTAGGTAATAAAGGAGGGAGAGAAGGGAAATTATATTTATAATATTACTAGTTTGATGGTAACTCTGAGTATGTTATACAACCAAGAGGGTGGCTCATTCATTATTTTGGATCTCTGAAATTAAACATTTCAGCACTGCGCGCTCTTCAAGTTCTTCCCAATAGCATGCGCAAGAAGGAGGACGCTGCTGAGAAAATGCTTTTTACTTTTAAAAAAAAATTCATTTAGGTTTATTACAAACCTCATAATCTGGAGGATTAAACATTACTTTGAGAATGTTACAAAGGCACAGAATCAGAGGACTAACGTCACATGGCCCTCAACTGAGGAATACATAAAGGCTAAAGATAGGAAGCAAATTCTTCACCTGGGCTTCCTTAATGCTGGACAGTACAGAAAAATTGATAACTTCGATAAGTCTCCTAGATTTTCCTTTGATCAGATGCCAGGCAGTGGTATCTTTAAATAAAAATGGAAATAAAACCTGGGAAATGCTAGTCACCACATTTGGAAAGGGTTCAAGACCACCCCCCCTCTGCCTTTTCCACGTTGAATAATAATAATCGTAAAGCTAATTGCTCCTAACCAAGAGGAATAGACAAAAATAACATAAAATTATATGGATATGTGCTAAATGCAATAACAGCAAATGTATCCAGGTTATTAGAAAAGGACATAGCAGAGTTCCTAACCCACCCCAGAGTGGGTCCAATGAAGGTATTAGTGAGAAAGTGTCATTTGATTAAAGGGTGGCTGCAGTTTTCATACAAAATATGAGGAGGATAGTAGGATGGGGTGGTAGATAAAGCAGCTGTTTTGAATATGTGATCTGGAGCAGATTACCTCACCAGTCAGCTTTAATTACCCATCTGTAAAATGGGGATGAGAGTACCTAGCTCATTGGAGGGTTGTGAAGACTAAATATATTTTTGAGGTATTATTGTTAGGGTTCACGAGTGTGGACTCTGGAAACAGGTGATGTACTGGGTTAAACAGCATCCCTCCAAACTTCATGTTACTCAAACCTCAGAATGTGACCTTATCTGGATGTAAGATCTTTGCAGCTATAATTTGTTGAGTTAAAAATGAGGTTGTACTCTATATTAATAATACTAATAAAACTGGACATAATAAGTGTTGACCAGGATGTGGAGAAATTAAAACCTTTATGGATTGCTGGTAGGAATGTAAAATGGTACAGCTGCTGCAAAAAATGGTATAGTGGTTCCTCAAAAAGTTCAACGTATAATTACCATTTGTCCCAGCAATTCCACTCTTAGGTATATATCCCAAAAGAACTGAAAAAATAAACTGATACTTGTACCCCATTGCTCCTAACAGAATTATTCGCGATAGCCAAAAGGTGGAAACAACCCAAGTGTCCATCAACAGATGAATGGATAAACAACGTGTCTTTATCCAGACAATGGAACACTGTTCTACAATAAAAAGGAATGTAGTTTTGATACATGCGGCAACACGGATGGACCTTGAAAGCATTATGCTAGGTGACATAAGCTAGACACAAAGGGAGCAAGAATTGCATGATTCTATTATATGAGGGACCTAGAATAGGCAAAGTCATAGAGACAGAAAGTAGAATAGAGCTTACCACGGGCTAGGAGGATAGGGAAACAAGTTGTTGCTTAATGGGTACAGAGTTTTTGTTTGCGGTGATGAAAGAGCTTTGGAAATAGACAGTGGTGATGGTCAATGTAATTAATGCTGTTGAACTGTACACTTAAAAATGACTAAAATGGGGCTTCCCTGGTGGCGCAGTGGTTGAGAGTCCGCCTACCGATGCAGGGGACATGGGTTCTTGCCCCGGTCCGGGAAGATCCCACAGACGGCGGAGCAGCTGGGCCCGTGCGCCATGGCCGCTGAGCCTGTGCGTCCGGAGCCTGTTCTCCGCAACGGGAGAGGCCACAGCAGTGAGAGGCCCGCCTACCAAAAAAAAAAAAAAAAAAAAAAGACTAAAATGGCAAATTTCGTTATATACATATTTTACCACAATTAAAAAAAAAATGAGGTTATGATGGATGAGGGTGGGCCTTAAGTCCAATCAGTGGTGTCATTACAGGAAGAGGCAGAGAGACACATGGAGAGAACACCCATGTGAGGGCAGAGACTGAGACTGGAGTGACGCATCTACCAGCCAAGGAACAACAAGTTGCCACCAGGAGCCAGGAGAGAGGCATGGGGCTGATTCTCCTCAGGCTTCCACAAGGGAACAACTGTGCGAACGTCTTGTTTTTGGATTTCTTGCTTCCAGCACTGTGAGAGAATAAACTTCTGTTGTTTAAAGCCACCTAGTTTGTGATAATTTTTTTTTTTTTTTTTTTGCGGTACGCGGGCGTCTCACTGTTGTGGCCTCTCCCGTTGCGGAGCACAGGCTCCGGACGCGCAGGCTCAGCGGCCATGGCTCACGGGCCCAGTCGCTCCGTGGCATGTGGGATCTTCCCGGACCGGGGCAGGAACCCTTGTCCCCTGCATCGACAGGCGGACCCTCAACCACTGCGCCACCAGGGAAGCCCTGTGATAATTTTTATAGCAGCCACAGGAAACTAGTACAGATGACCTAGGTTTAAATCCTAGCTCTGCTGCGTCTTATTTGTGAGAACTTGGGTAACTGACAGCTTATCTGAGCCCCTGTTTCCTAATTGTAAAACGGAGGTAATGGTACATACCTTATCAGGTCACTGGGAAGATCAAACATAAATTCTTTTTTTTTTTAAAATAAATTTATTTTATTTATTTATTTTTGGCTGCATTGGGTCTTCGTTGCTGCTCACGGGCTTTCTCTAGTTGTGGTGAGCAGGGGCTACTCTTCACTGCGGTGCATGGGCTTCTCATTATGGTGGCTTCTCTTGTTGCAGAGCACGGGCTCTAGGCACTCAGGCTTCAGTAGCTGTGGCACGCGGGCTCGGTAGTTGTGGTTCGCGGGCTCTGGAGCACAGGCTGAGTAGTTGTGGTGCATGGGCTTAGTTGCTCCTCGGCATGTGGGATCTTCCCGGACCAGGGCTCGAACCAATGTCCCCTGCATTGGCAGGCGGATTCTTAACCACTGCGCCACCAGGGAAGCCCCAAACATAAATTCTTAACATACTGCCTGGTGTGTAATAATCGCTCAATAAATGCAAGTTATTAATGCCAATTATGATAATAATTAGCAACACAGAGAAATGAGAATTGACTCCCAGGGGAGGCTGTCTTGGCGAGCCCTAATGCCAACAGGATTTGTTTGAAAATCGAAAGGATTTACTTCAGAAGCTTTACTTTGCCATTCTCATCACAGAAAAACGTGAGGGAAATGGGTGTTATTTGAGCTGGCATCATTGAAATGGACCTGGAAGTTGAACAATTTGTTTCTCAGGTTCCAAGAAGCTTAGAGAAATTGACAGGCACATCTTCTTTCCTCCTAACAACCGCTCTCTTGCCGGTACACCTCCCCTTACACCCGTGCACGTTGTCTCATTTAGAAGAGAGCTGTGTTCTTACATTACAAGTGTGCTCTCTGCCCCGATGGCACAGGTGTGAGCTAGCCGTCCAGGTGCTCCACACAAATTACAGACCCTGCCGCCATGACCGGCAAAGCCGGATCGCTTGCTGTCAAACTAAAGAGGGAGAGGTATTTGATTTCATTTGGTGGTAAATGAGAAAAAAATCCATTTTTCAAAGAGCAGTCTAAATCCATAGGCGAGTGGGAGGCTTTGGGAATAGATGGGTGGGCCGGGTAGCAATAGCTGTTGTCTATGGCCTCCGGGTAGATTAGCTGTGATTTCCACTAACACGTTCATTGTTGTCAACAGCATTAACATGCCCACCTCTTACAGGTGCCATGTTGGGCTGGTTCAGTGCATGTGCTCCCCGACACTTGCAACAATCAATAGAGTTGAATCCACAGGTCTGGCCGGGCCCAGTTTATATTCTTAGTCTCTTTCATTATTGGGCTCTATGATTTGTAAGAGGTTTTAACCCAGGTCATCCGACATGGTCCTCAAAACAGCTCCGGAGCTGTTAGGACTGGCCTTATCATACCCACGCTGCCTGCAGGGACTCTGAGTCTCAGCGAGGTTAAAAGACTTGCCAAGTTCAGAGCATTAGTCAGTGGTTGTCCAATGTGTCCAGGAACAAGGTGGGCTCCCCTACCTCCTAGAGGCCAGCACCCCGGTAACAAGAACGTCTTCTGAAGGAGAGTAGAGAGACAGAGATGGAACCATCAGATACATGCCCTCGGGGGTGAATGGTGGAGGCTGAGCTCTGGGCCCAGGGCAGGGAAAGGTCAGAGGAGGGGTGGGTGTAGGGAGAGAGTGGGACTGGAAGGGGGCTTGAAAGGGAGCATTAATTCCTGAACCCTGTGGCCCACGCTAGAGCTGGAGGCTTTTTCCTTCCCGCATGGGATCTGCAAGGAAGGTTGAGCCCACCACCGAGGGCTGATAGTGCTAAAGTGTGGGCCCCCGAGCCATGGTCCTATGGTAACCCATCAAGCTCTGTGTCCCCAACATCCTGCTATGTCCCCCACATTGGCCCACTGGCCTCTCCAGGATTTCTCTGGACCTAGGTTCCCTACCCCCACATTCAAAATTATTAAAAGCAAAAGGCAAAAATACAGATTATAATAAAAGTGTCTATGGGAATTCCCTGGTGGTCCAGGGGTTAGGACTCCGTGCTTTCACTGCCGAGGGCTGGGGTTCAGTCCCTGGTGTGGCCAAAAAAAAAAAAAAAAAGGGGTGTCTAAAAGTTTACAAATCAAAATTATTAAAACAAAGACAACTAGTTTCTGGTGACTCCCAGCAATCCTTGATGTTCTTGTTCTACAGCTGCATCACTCCAGTCTCTGCCTCTGTTTTCATGTGATCTTTTCCCTGTGTGTCCCTGTGCCCTCTCCTCTTCTTAAAAGGATACCAGTTATGGGATTTAGGGGTCATAGGATGATTTTATATCAAGATCTTTAACAAATTACTTCTGCAAAGACCCTATTTCTTAGGTTGTATTCAGAAGTCCCTGATGAGCATGAATTTTAGGCAGAAACAGTCCAACCCACTACAAAGTGTAAAAACCATTCCTAGCTCTTGGCTATACTAAAGTAGCTGGCTGGGCTTCCCTGGTGGCGCAGTGGTTGGGAGTCCGCCTGCCGATGTAGGGGACATGGGTTCGTGTCCCGGTCCGGGAGGATCCCACATGCCGCGGAGCGGCTGGGCCCGTGAGCCATGGCCGCTGAGCCTGCGCGTCCAGAGCCTGTGCTCTGCAACGGGAGAGGCCACAACAGTGAGAGGCCCGCGTACCGCAAAAAAAAAAAATAAATAAATAACTGGCTGATTTTGCTGACTCCTGGTCTAGCTCACTGTCTTGAACATAGTAAGCGCTCTAAATCCTTTCAAACAGCACCAGAAACATAGCAGGGCGTTAAGAAAGACATCTAAAACCCTAAACAGATTCCATCATACCAAATTAACTAAGCCTTATACATAACTACATAACACTTTGCAATACTAGCTGATCCATTCCTGATATCTACTCTATGAGGTAGGTATTCTTATTCCCATTTGTAAGTTGAACTAGATGTAACAAGTTTAAATGACTTCCATAAGGTCCGTGGATGAGGGAGGACTTGAACTTATTCCAAAGCAGCAAGGGCTGTAGCGCGTTTGGGGAGGATGAAGCTGTTATAAGGCAAGTTCGCCGAGTCATGATGGTGGGGAGGGAAAAGAGGGGGTCAGGAGTGAGACGTCACCTTATAACTCATCAAGTTAAGAAAAACGTGGTGTGGTTATTGGATATGCAACAAATCACAAGACAGGGAAGGCACTGGCTGAGCTGGGGAAGGCTGTTGAAGGCCCAGGTGCACTGTGGGAGAAAGCCGGGGCTTGGAGCAGGGTGGCTGGACAAATTGATTCTGTCTGGGAGTGAAGGAGGGAGGCTGAGTCACCCTCATAACCCGGGTAATGGCTTGAGGGTTTTGAACTTGAGTTATATGGTACAGAGAAGATTTTAATGACTGAAGGGGATTAGAATATGCCACTCCCAAATATGTCACTTGGGGAGAAGGATTATTTTGAGCAGAAGGCAACTGAGAAACAACAGACACAGGAAAAGCTCTTTGCCCTCCCCCATCTGCCTGAAAGCAAGACATAAATTTCCTGTGAGAATGGTGCCCTCCTTGTACCAGCAAGGGGAGAGCAACTCAGCCCTGGAGGAGTGTCAAGGCTGAGGTGAATCCGCATAGACAGACCTTACTACAATAACCCTTGTCTTCCATTAGTTTCCCCCATATATTTCCTAGTCACCTTCCCACAATTTATCACAACTAGAAGCCGAAACCCCCTTTCCTTTTTCTATTCCATTCTCCACAATTATCATTCTTTGTGAAAATGGGGTTTTCACTTCTTTTCTCTGAGGCCCGTGTGTGCATAAAAATATCAACATCAATAAAAATTGCATGTCTTTTCTTCTGTGAATCTGTTAGCTGTCAATGTAATTCACAGCCCCCATATACTGAACCTAAGAAGGTAGAGGAAAAGCTTTTGTCCCTCCCTTACATGACTTTTTCTTAATTTAAAATCTTAACGTAAATGGCCCAAATTAATTGCCTTAAGTTCTTTTACTGTCATCATTCTATGGGGAATTCCATGTGTGAAATTTTTCTTAAAGAAGGACTGGATATTTGATGAGCTCTCATGACTAAAATGGAGCCTGCAGACCCCAAAGTGTTAGCTGGCAGGTAGCGATTGTAATTTTCAAAGGCTTTATCAATGGGAGTCAAATGGACAGTAACCTAGGCTGGCTCTTGTGCATTTCTTATATTCTTCATTGTTTTCGAACATTCCAGTACTGACTAAGATCTTGCCCTACCATGGCTTGGGGCTGGTATCAGCAACCAATGGCACCATGCCGAAAGCTTGAGACCGTGGCAGGGGGCGGTTTCCTCAATCCCATCTGGAGGCCAACTTGCTGGGCCTCCAATGCTGCAGGAGCAGGGCTGCCTCTTGTCCATGTGACCATCCCCAGGGCCTTGCCCAGTGCTTGGCAGACAGCAGGCTTCCTATTATTAAGATTTGTACTGTTGCAACTGGGGCAAATTTGAATTTGACCCTCTTCTACCCAGCAGCCCACTCACACCTGTTGTTCTTTCTCCTGTGGGAGCAAAAAACCCTCTGCTGCCCTATTTCTCTCCGAGGTCCTCAGGGCAGATCCCATTCAGGCCCCCTTACCGTTATTTCCTCCCCTCTAGTTAAAATTTCCAGTGCCTGTGTTCAGCCTAAGGAAATAGCAATCTGATTAAAATAAGTCACACTGAAAATCTT